GAGAGAGAGAGAGAGAGACAGAGAGAGAGAATATGCATGCATGCTCTCTCGTGTCCCACTCCCAAGCCTCCTTGCTCGAGGGAGCCTGTCTGACAGACCTTGTTTGAGTTCTCCCTCCCCTGTCCTTCCCACTGCTTCTTTTCCTTTTCCTTCCCGCTCGCTGTCTCTCTGTCTGTCTCTGTTTTTTATTTTCCAGAAAATCAGTTCGAGGAAAGGGAAAGGGGCAAAAACGAAAGCGCAAGAAATCCCGGTATAAATCCTGGAGCGTGTACGTTGGTGCCCGCTGCTGTCACACTAATTCACTGGCGCCTCCCCACCCCCAATCAAACTCCTACCTGTAGCATCCCATAACCTTCCCTCCCCTCCCCACCCCATCCTGTTTCCTGGCCCCAGTGTCTCTCTCGCTCACTCCACTAATTGACACCAGTGGGTAGATGTGGTGGTGGCATTGCTGGTCCAGGGTTGGGGTGGGGTGGTGGGTGGACAGAGAGGGCATGGAGGATGTAGGGAGGGAACTCTGGCTTGGCTGGGCACCAACTCTCTCTCACCCACTGGGCATTGGTGGTGGGCCCATGTTGGCATGGGTGCTGGGCACAGGTACCCGTCGGCCCATCTGGTTTCCACTGTTCTGGGCTTCTGCATCTGTCTGGAAGCTGAGGGGCTGGGGGAAGGCAAATGCTGTTTGAGGAAGGGGTGAGAATGAGTGTAAGAAAGGTGGTTTGTTGGCTGATGGTGGAGGCTGGCAGGGTCCAGCACCCTCATGGCAACTGGTCCCTGTGTGGGGAGGCACCTTGCCTTCTTGTGGACTTGGGGCCTCTGGAGGGGAACCGTCCACATTGAATCTTCCCTGTGGGGCAGCTTTTCCAGGGCGAGGGCTTTGGTGGGTCTGAGCCTGCACCCTGGGCTTCCAGTGGTCTGGCCTGTGGACATGGCCTTCCGTCACGCTCTCCTTCTGTGGAGGGGCCTGAGGAGGTGGCCTCTGGTGATCTCAGTGGCACCCAGTTGCTGTTCCCAGGAGTGAAGAGTTAAGATGTGGTCTTTAGGGGATGTGGCCTGAGACCTCCCTGGAGTCCGTGGGATGTGACACAGCCCCTTTGGCAGCCCTGCCCCTGCATCTCTGCCCGTCTGTGCCCATCTCTTCTTGTGGGCAGGCCTCCTAGCCAGTGCTGCCTCTCTCGCCGCTCTCTCTTCTTCCACTGTAGTTGCTCCGATCCTTCTAGGACATAGAAGGGCGTGGGGGCTGAAGAGCCGGGTTGGGGTGCAGCTGCTGACGTGTTACGGGGTGTTGCATGGTGGTTTTTTTGTTTTGTTTTGTTTTTCCTCTCTCTCTGCTGACGCTCTAGCTTAGATGTCTTTCCTTTTGCCTTTTTGCAGTCCCTGTGGGCCTTGCTCAGAGCGGAGAAAGCATTTGTTTGTACAAGATCCACAGACGTGTAAATGTTCCTGCAAAAACACAGACTCGCGTTGCAAGGCGAGGCAACTTGAGTTAAACGAACGTACTTGCAGGTTGGTTCCCAGAGGACGAGCGAGCGAGTCAGAGAGGGGCCTCTCGCAGAGACGGAGAAAGAGAGAGAGAGAGAGCGAGAGCAAGCGAGCATGCACGCCTGAGAGGGGCCGGCCGCTTGCTTGGCTTCTAGCTGCCTGCCTGGCGACTACTACCTTCTCTTGCTTGCAAGGCCCCTGTGGTGGGCAGTGGGCGCTGGTCCAGCTTGGTGGTGCCTGTTCAGAGATTACCCTGGTTGCTTGAGTGGGTAGGCTGATGTGGCTTTATGTGGTGGTGTGGACGCCAGCTGTGTGTTCTGTCCCGTGATCCTACTACTTCTAGTGCTGTTGGTCCGAATGTTATGATCATTATTTTTTCTACTAATTCTGGGGGCCCTTCCAGGTGTTTAGAGTTTACACTGTGGCCTGGCCATAGCTGTCTGAAGTCTGTGAGGCTGGGCTCCTCATCCCCTTACCCCCAGGGTTGAGCTTCCCTGCTCAGACTGGGTGTTTCCTGAGAGCAAGTGCTCTGGCCTTTTGGTCTAGGGTAGGAAGTGCCTCCTATCTGATGTAGAATTTCCTATTCAGTGTAGAAGATTTAGCATCCCAGGACACTAGATCTTTGACACCTTCACCATTTGTCTTGACAAACAGCCTCAAAGAAACGTACATATTTCCAGAGGTTCTCAGGATAGGGTGTGGGAGGGGGTCAGGTCCACTGTCCTTAACATTAACTTATGTACTCCTTACTCCCCAGTATTCCCCACTGTGCCATCCTTTGTCCACAGTGGGAACTAAGAAAGTATTGAATGTAGAATAAGTTTATGATTGGGTTCAGGGGGTGAGGACAGGAACCCAGGGGGCCGGGTCAATGGCCGACAGTACCTGACTGGCCTGTCCTCTGGACCATGGTAAGGTTCCCCCAGAGTGGAGGGGGCTTTATGTGATTCCCTGAGTGAGGCCAGACACTCTATTAACAAAGTCTTTGGAGAGTGACTGCCCAGTCCCTTCCTGTCTGAATTCTCAGGGAACTCGGTTATTGGGGGACTTACCCCAGGTTGGTTGTTGATCTGTCTTGCTGCTGTGTGAAGATGGAAGTGGGCAAGTTACTCCAGGACTGGATGAGGGAGGTCCCCACATCCCAGGAGCTCCTCAGGGATGATAGGAACTTGCCTTGGGGGATTTCTGTGGTGGTTATTCTATAGAGAAATTCTATAGAGAAAAGGGTTGGATAAAGCGACCTGGCCGCTAGCTGCTCTTCCTCTAACCTCTGGAGTGCACCCCGAAGTCCCAGCCTGGCTGTATCTGGGGCTGTCTGGTCTCCACATTGGAAAGTCAGGGTCCCCATCTCCAGGCTCTCCTGAAGAGTGAAAGACATAGAGGCCTTTTGAGAAAGTTATTGGGGTATTCTCTGCTTCAAGCCACCACATTGCCTCTCCCCACCCTACATTGAGAAGAAAAGGAGAGACATCTGTCCCCTCGGCCCTGCTGCTCGAGAGAGACGGAGGTTGGGGAGGGAGACACACCCCACAGCTTTCTGGGGTCCTCGACCACTCTGCCTCCCCTGGCCTTGGCATCCGTAACAGCTTTACTCCTTATTGCCCAGAGCAGCCCCTCCGTATAAGCTAGTCCCCCAGCAATCTGCATCTGCAGGAAGCCTTTCTCTGTGGCCTCCCTCCTCTGTCCAGCTCAGACCACCCATCATCTCTCAGACGTTAAGTGGGGATGGCTCTTCGGTACATGTTGATTTGTTGCTTTTGTAAAATGTTCGTGTCTTGTCTCAGACTGTAAGCTGTGGAGGGCAGGTACTATGGCTTCTTATCTGAGCCCCTGAGGACACAGCTACTGCTCACTCCTCAGACCAGGGGCTCACCTAGGGCGAGACCACACCTGTCATCTCTGCACCTGCGTGCCCAAGGGTGGCAAGGACCCAGAAAGCAATGGGCTTTCTCACTGGCTCTAACCCAGCCTCTGTTTCCCAACCCCCACAGATGTGACAAGCCGAGGCGGTGAGCCGGGCTGGAGGAGGGAGCCTCCCTCAGGGTTTTGGGAACCCAGACGTCTCACCTGGAAAAGACTGAAAACAGAGCGCCCCAGAAACCACGCAGCTGCCACCGCACCACCCTCACCATCGACAAAACAATCCTTAATCCAGAAACCAGACATGAAGGAAGAGGCGGCTCTGTGCAGAGCACTTTGGGTCCGAGGGCAAGACTCCGGCGGAAGCATTCCCGGGCGGGTGACCAAGCACGGTCCCTCTTGGAATTGGATCGCCTTTTTATGTTATTTTAATTTTTTTTTTTGCTGCTAAATCACCAAGCCCGGAAGAGTAGAGAGTTTATTTCTGGGATTCCTGTAGACACACCCACATACATACA